TATATCTTTAAATATATAAATATATAAATATTATCTTAATTAATTAAATATTTATTAAATTATTAATAAAAATAAAAATTTAATTTTAGGCAATTTTTTTTGTCCCCTACCGTATATATTCAACAATAAGATTAAATAAAAAATAATAATAATAAATAAATGACTTTTTGATGACCATAAGTAATTACCCTATTAATTTAAGGTTTTGATACAGATCGATTATTTACCAAGAAAATATAGATTTTCAGATACAGTATTAAAAGCAAACCGGTTAGTATAGGGTACTACGATTTACTGTATTTGTTTTTAAAGAAAATTTGAGTACATGCTATTAATATAGCAAACAAAAAAGCATTTAATTGTCCCTCACATTATTTCAGGGTAGTGCCATAAATCCCTAAATTTTTTTGTTTATTATCAAATTCTTTGGCAACCTGTGTTGTCACTTTCGTTATTTCTCTCTCGGATTTTTGATGAAAAGAGAGTGACATTATGTTAAAGCGAAACAATTTACGATATTTCGGTTTAGCAGTGGTAACACTATTTTTCTTTCATTGGGTATTAACTGCTATCAATCCGAAGTCGGGTTATTCGAAATTTGAATCTTCAGAACAATCTGATTTTGACAAAGAGGTTGTACCTCCACATAAAGAGCAAAATATCATTAACCACGATTCTCAAGAGATCCAATATGGGAAAGTTAAAGCTGCCTTCGTGGTTTTAATACGAAATAACGATTTACATTCGTTTCGAGCTACTATGAGACAACTGGAAGATAGATTTAATCACAAATATAATTATCCATATGTGTTTTTAAACGATGAACCATTTACCGATGAATTCAAGAAACTCATTAGCGTAATGACCAAGGCAAAAACAGAATATGGTAAGCATATAACATTATTTAATATGCTATGAAGCATTCCGTAAATGTATAATGCGGAATCATTCGTCTTTTATAGGGTTGATCCCTAAAGAACACTGGAGTGTTCCCGACTGGATTGATATGGAACGTGCTAGGAAGTCTATGGCCAAAATGCGAGAGGAACAAGTAATATATGGTGGCAGTCTGCCATATCGCCATATGTGCAGGTGAATTTTGATCTTTCATTTCAGTGTCCATAATTGCGCCACTTACAATAATATTTTTTTAGATTTGAATCCGGATTTTTCTTTCGTCATCCCTTGTTAGATAAATATGATTATTATTGGCGTGTTGAACCTGGTGTTCAATTTTATTGTGACCTGGACTACGATCCATTCTTGTATATGCAAGATAATGACATCAAATATGGTATTACTTTTAACTCGTTTTAACATCTTATTATGTTGCACAAATTTATAACATGTATAATAATTATCTTTAGGCTTCACTATTTCATTGTACGAATACCCTAAGACCATACCTACTTTGTGGGATTCTGTCAAGGAATTTATTAAGAAATATCCCGAGTTTATCGAAAAGGATAATTTGATGGAATTTATTTCAAGTGATGGTGGTGAATCTTATAATTTGTATGTCAACAATTCATTTATTTAAAATATTATTTTGTGTTGGTTAATTAATTTAATTTGTTAATAGATGCCACTTTTGGTCAAATTTTGAAATTGGCGATTTGAATTTCTGGAGAAGTAAAGCGTACACTGAATTCTTTTCCTTCCTCGACAAAAAAGGTGGATTTTTTTATGAACGGTCAGTGTGTTGTTGAATCTACTAATTAGTCAGATAAATATCTACTTATCATTTTTCATCATTATTTTCTTAGTTGGGGCGATGCACCTGTTCACTCAATTGCTGCCGCACTTTTCTTAAAGAGGAATCAAGTACATTTTTTCAATGAAATAGGATATCGTCACGAGCCATTTATGCATTGTCCCACCGACAAAAACTTACAATTAAAATGTCATTGTGACCCCAAAGATACTTTCGGTAAATCATT